AATATCTCCTCTTTAAGCAGTACCTTTTTTTTTTTTTCAGAAAAAAAAAAAAAAAAAAAAAAAAAAAAAAAAAAAAAAAAAAAAAAAAAAAAAAAAAAAAAAAAAAAAAAAAAAAAGAAGCCTGAAAAGCTGTCTTTTTTCCCCTCTTAGCTCTGTTCTTATGGTGTATTGGGTCTGGCTGAGATGGTGTTCATTTCCCCACAGAAGTCCTCACAGTGCTGTGCTTTGCATTGGTAGCTAGAGGGGTGTTGATAACACACCAGTGCTTTGGCTACTGCTAAGCAGAGCATCAGCGCTGTAACGTTCCTTCATTAATCGAGGGTAAGATCCTAGGAGGGGGCCCAGGTAGACCATCTGACCCAAACTGACCAAAGGGATATTCCAGACCGTATGATGACAGCTCAGATATAAAAGCTGAGGCAAGGAGCAGGAAGGCAGGCATTCATTGTCTCCAATGGCTGCCTGCTAAGGAACCATGTGTGCTGAAGCCCTGCTTCTCACGGGTGGGTGACCATCATTGCTCATGGGAATTAGAGAATAAACCGTGTTATCTTTCACTTTACTTTTGCACGCAGAAGCTTTTGCTTTGGTTTTGTTTTAAATAAATTGCCGTATCCTAACCATGGGTTGTTTTCCATCTTACTCTCTCCCCTGTCCGACTGGGAAGGTGAGTGATAGAGTGGCTAGGTGGGCACCTGGCATCCAGCAAAGGTCAACCTACCACATATCAGCATCTGGTTCAGATGGAGTTAAGGGTCCTCCAGTTCACTCAAACATCTGGTGCTATAAATATGCATGCCTTGGTATGATTCCAATTATTTTTGTGTCCACTGGCTTCTTCTGCTAAAAAATATATGAAGAGTTTATATGAGAGGAGCTTTCTTCCATCTGAGTTATGACTTTATCTCCAAAAACTGCTGAAGAAGGAAGAAAATTGAGGTTGTATAAAAGCATTATAACTAGACTGAGTCAGACAAAAAAACCTACAAACATTTAGACCAGCATCCTCTCCCTGACACCGATTCACATATGATGACACATGCAACAGTGATTATACACTGAGTTCCTCAGTGTTTCATTAACCCTTGTCTAAAATTAGCAGAGAAGTCCTTTTAACAGGCAACCAAGAGTTAATGGACAGAGTTAATGTGGACTCCAGTTGAAACAGACTGTCCATCCTTGGAGATATTCAAAATTTGACTGGGCATGGCCTGAGTAACCTGACCTTACTGGGCCTGCTTTGAGCAGAGAGTTCTAAACTAGTTGACTTCTGCACGTCTCATACTATGATTCTGTGACTAAGCTATGATTCTGTGATGCTGACTGTTGTGCTTAGCATCCATGAATCTACTGCTGGTACCTGGGATCTTTTCAGTTATACAATCAGAATGTCAAAACACAAATTTGTTTTCTTTTTGAAGGCACACAGGGTATAGCTAGATGCCTATAAATGAGATTGCTGCCCCAGCTTCTGTTAGAGTCCGTGGAAATCAAATCAATAGAGTTTGTAGTTGCATCAAGGCTTAAGAACCTAGGTTGCCCACAAACTAGGTTTTTCTATAAACTTACTACTAATTTGTTAAATTTATATTACAGCTTAGATCACCCCTGCCGATTTGGTGTGATACAACTTGTGCAGTTTATGTGGGTGACAAACAGGGAATTTACTGCTAGTCTAATTAAAGTCTTGATAGTCTAATTAAAGAATTATTATTAATCTAGACACAATGATACAATGAATTATATGCCCAATAATCCAAACATTACAGCTCATCTCTGTAATGAAATAGTGAAAATCAAAATACTCAAACTTTATAGTAATTGTCCCTTTCTATGGTATTATGCTCACCCTTCCACTGTCGCGCTGGCGACAGAGATCATGTCCTGAGGTTGATGGCTTCTGCTTAGGAGGGGAGGGTGTCATTGCAAATCATTCATGGTGTGATAAGGGCAGCTTTTTTACTTCTCTTTACTGAAAATATGATGTTGGTGTCAATGGTTTCCTCCTCCTTGCTCACAGGTCTGCTTAGTGCCATTATTACATACTTGCTAACACAGTTTGCTTTCTCCTTATTCATTGGTTCACAATTTCATGTTATACCAAAATCTACTATGTACAGTATGTTATACATATATCAGATACCTGGTTTTGGCTATATTTCTTAGTTCCAGTCAAACTCTCTCAAAGTATTAGCCAGCATCTTAGACAATATGGTTTCTCCCATCTGTTGGTTTCTAAGTTTCCAAAGGTTCTTGTCAATTATTTTTCAGCTGTTTCTCCTTGTCTGGTGGCTTCTCTTCTTTCTGAGACTTAATATTGTCTACAGATTTTACAGAGGCTTCCATTTTCATTCCCCACCGTGTTGTTTCTTATTATATTTGTCAGTGCAAACAGCCTTATAACAGTATTGTCAGCATATAATCCAGCACTCCTGCAAGCTCCCACTGCAGAGTATTCCAAGTGACACAGAAATAAGCTCATTTAATTCTTACTTAGTGTACTTACAGACTTAAGGCTGCAACATGCCATGGTCCTGATCCTTAGTCAGTCATTCTTTTTTCTGAGATACACACCTGGTCTGTGTTTCTTTTTATTTTTGCTATGGCCACACTGCAGAACTTGCACAGTGGTTGATGCCCACAAGGTTTTCACCTGCAAGAGAATATGGTTGTCATGTGAATAAAGTTCCAGAAGTACAGAAGACTTGTCTCCTATACCTAGAATTAAACCCTAAAATATTCTCTCCCTCTGTCTTCTCTTTCCACTTATTATGTGGTGAGTAAAATTAGCCCTTAAGTATTCTTTTCCTCAACTTTCCAGATAGAAGGGGCTAATCAAATGAGATATCCTAATAAAATAAAATAAAATGAGCTCCAGCACTGAGATGAAGTACCTTCTGCTATTTTTCTGACAAATATACCCTTATTAAAGATACATTCTGCCTACTCTTTGGGTCACTTATCATCTTCCTCATCTTGTGCATTTCCTTTTTATGTCGGAATTAATGTAGGAACTCCTTGCTCATCCATGCAGGTCTCCTGCTACCTTTGTTTGATCTCTTACTTGCTGGGATGGAGCTTTCTTGAGCTTGAAGGAACTGATATTTGAATATCAACCAGCTCTCCTGGACCCTTCTTCTTTGCAGGGTCATATCCTATGGGATTATTCCAAGAAGCTCTCTGAAGAAGTTGGAATCTGAGTTCCTGAAGTGCAGACTTGTGGCCCTGATTTTTGCCCAGCTTCCTCCTCTTTGGATACTCCTCCTCCTGTATTCTCTTTGATTATGTGACCCCAGTGGTCATATGGCCAGTCAGCCAAGGCTTCTCCAACTTTCATATCCCTGACCAATTCTTCCTCGTTTGTAAGTATAAAGTCCAGGAAAGAACATTTTCTTGTTGACTCCTCGAGGCTGAGACAGTTGGGCATGGACAAGAGAGGCTAAGGAGGATCCCATCCATGTGTATAAATACCTGAACAGAGGGAATAAAGAAAAGGTGGCCAGACATTTTTCAGTGGTGCCCACTGAGAGGACCAGGAGCGTTTACCTTAAAATGAGATGAATTGCATCATGAAAGTGCCTGTTTTTCTCCACTCACTATAAAAATATCTGGATATCTGGATCTGATACAGACATCTGTGACAGAGATATCTAAATTTAGGTGAGCTAACTGCTCTGTAGTAGAATAAATCTGGGCAGCACAGCTGACAAATATTTCAAGATAAGAATTCCTCCTTTCATTTAGCTGAACTCACATCACCACATGAAGCATCAAACCCTTAGTGAACTGATTGGTTTAGAGCACTTCTGTACATTCCCAGATGCATTTAAGACACTCAAACATAGCACTGCCTTTTTTGCCTCAAAACTGGCAGGAATGGTGAAATATCATGCCTGAAGTTACCTACACACACCACACAATTGAACAAAAGCTGGCTTCAGAGGAAATCACCACTAAAGATTATTTCTCCAAATTTATTTTTCCTTTCTGCCACTGGAGGCCTGGGTCAGCTCAGATGTTGATGGACACTTCCACTCAGATTCACTAAACTAGGCTTTTTTTTCCAGAGAGCTACATGTTTTTGAAAACAAGAGTATGGAAAAGACTTGATCAATTTTAATTACAGTTTTGACTATGTTTTGCACATTATTAGTTCCTGAGTGTGTCTGGATAGAATTTAGGCAAGTGCCTCTAACTGAAATAGTACACTGTATTCTAGCAGCGGGACACAATGTTGTTTGACTGCTAACATGCTGGACTAGTGAAAAAAGAACATTTTTTCCCCACGTTTAACAAAGTATCTGTTGAGGTAAGTGGTCATATTCACATGCCACCTAAGCTTATGTGGCTAGCTAATAGGTAAAAACTATGTATATCATAAATCCTCTAAAAGTCATTTGAAGAGTCACTTGAACCAAGATACAGAATGCTTACTCAACAGGAAACTCAAGGCATGGGGCCTTAGAATTTAGGCTGAGTTAGCATTGCAGCTGGATAGGTCTGGCTGATGATATGGTGGTTAACAACATTTCTGTTATATTCTGCTCTGTTTCTGTTTATATTTTGACTTATGTTCAAAGGAGACTAAACTAGCATTACAAGGAGCCAGTGTAACAGCTCAACAGCACTGTAACACTGCGTTTTTTAATGCAGTTGCATTACAAACATAGAATAAAAGGGTGGTTCCTAATAAAGGAGGTTTGTAATTCATACAGAGCTTTATATAGAAGAAAATCAATTTGGGCATAAGGCCTGCTCAAGAGCTCTATATATGGATAACATATACAATGATGAAGAGACTGAAGGTTATTTAGAACATAACCATTGTCAGTGCTGTGCAGGGCAGTGTCATAGCACATCTAATTTGAATGATCAGCATAATTTTGATATTGAAAAGACAATTTTCATTTTATATCTTTTTCTAATAGATTTTTATACTGCGTTATAAGTGTTAGGAGAAACGCCAGTTCATTAGACTTCATGACCTAGCAGTAACTTACCATGAATATATATTCAGCTCCCCTCTCTTCCTGTAGGACAGAAACCATGCACTGCAATTAATACTTTAAAGTAATATTGGCACTGCAAGAGCATGGAGTTACTTGGTCTTTCCTCTTCTAATTCTATAACAAAATGATTTTCAGAGAGTATCAAGGCCTTACCTGTTGAGATTTTTTTTTTTTTTGCGTATTAAAAAAATTAAAAAATAACATAGCTTTCAGATAAATGGATTGATGGATTGAATATCTTTTTTCCTAAGGAATACATGTTTAAACTGTTTTCTACTTAATCATACCTTACTGACATTACAAAAATGACAAGTATTGCCAAGATCAGAATGGAAATGTCTTGTCCAAATAAGACTTCATAACAGCATTGGATTTCTTCTTGCATCTGTACTGACTCTCAGTGCACTAAGCCTGCAGACGTCTGTATTATCTACCATTTCCTTTATTTTTTCCCCCCAACATATCTCAAGGGTTTGGAGATTGTTTTCTTGGTTTTTGTTTTCTAATTGGAGCTATTTTCTCACATATTTCTCACATTCCTTCACAGTTTGTTGTATTTACATTCTTTATTCTGTATTTCAACTTCACTGTCATTGGTTTTATTGAGGCTAATTGACTTCTGCACACTCCATTCAACCCCACTTGTTAAATAGAAACTTGAAAGCCATACGGGGATTTTTTTGTTTTTTAAACACTGTATATCTACATAACAGCACATGTTGGCAACTGTCAAGATTGGGTGTCTAACATCAGATCTGTAACTCAAAACATACTGAAAAAGCTAGGCCATATAAATTTTAAAAAAATTCTAGTTACTTCTCAGTTTTTACATTTAGGGATTTTTTAGGTAGTGTCCACATCAGTGTTCATTACACACAAATATTTAAATTATTATATTATTTTTCAAGGGATTTAAAAAAAATTGTTATAAACTCATAGATTTTTAAGAGACAAATTAGTTTTAAAGAAAACAACTTCAAACTGATACACACTGATGTGTTTACTCCTGTGATTCTTCTGCTTTGAACGGACTTCTCTCATAGTACACGTACCTCTCCAAACAGGTGGGACTTCACAGATCCTTCTTACTGTTAGACCTTCCTCTGTCACCTGTGTGAAACACTGGCAGCCTCTGCATTCATTCTTCATAACAAAATCCAGTTTGTGTCACATTATGTGGAAATACGACTTTTTAAGAAGAATCTGCTCTGAGAGACAAGCACTCTGAAGACAAGACACTACCTCAGTCTTTATTTGTGGACTCCGTACCATTTCCTCTAGATTCATAGCTTACTCCACAAAATTGGCTAAGCAATCATCTTGCAGTGGCAGCTCATTATGCTCTTTTTTTTCCCCTGCAAAGCCACTGCGCGGTACTGAAGAAGCTGTAACTGCTGCTAATGTGAGCATGAATTCGTCTGAAGCACAGCTATGCCTTTTTGGAAGATGATGTTACTTCACTTCTATGGTCTCCTGCATTAACCATGCTTGTGGCCAGCAAAGGTAATTAATCTAAGTTGTAAGAGACACAACAGAGATGAAGGGATCTATGCTATTAGCTTAAGCGTACAGCTGTGCTATGCACAGCTATGAGGAGCCCGTCAGAATATACCTGAACTAGTTCAAAACTGTCTCTGTGATTTAATAGGAAATAGGTGTGGCAATATAAAGATCCATGCAGGCTGCAAAATCTGTCCTAGACCAAGGGAAATATTTGAGATGTTTCCCAACCTGAGCACTGTGTTGCAGTAATGACATTTAGAGCTTGTTCAGATATATCTGCACGGTGTTTGGACATACCCAAAGACCAGACTTGTAAGACTATACACATGTATGTAGACACTGAACAAAGATGATGGCAATGTAATCAAAAATCTGTATTCAGCTATGAAATCTTAAAAGTAGCTCAGTGTTCCTGTTAATGATGGCTCTGGCATTGCCTATGTTGCCTAAAAAAGGAGGAGAAAAGATGAAGAAAACCAAGCCAACCTCCTGCTGTTTCTTACTAAGAAATTCAGTTCCAGTTTTTTGTTTAAGCCAACTTTCTAAAAGAAACTATCTAAGCCCATATAGAGATCACAAACTTTATGCAGTTTACACAACCAAGAACATGGAATTAAAACCAAGTAGGTTAATAAAGAAGTTTGAAAATAGTGAGAAAATAAATACAGTCAGTAAATTCACAGCCCGCTTTCAGGTCTGTCCATAAGTAAATTAGGTACATTCATTTCATTAGATTTACATCAGGAAAAATCCTATTTATTTCCCACTGACATCATCTGCATTAGAGGTTAAAAAACACATGCTAAAAACAAAGCTATAAACCCCAAAATTGTACCTTTTTTTTCATTTTCTGGATAGGAATGTATAGATTTTAGTTTAAATTCTTTATACAGTACAGCAAGCAAAACATGACAGTAAATGTAATATTTACTTAAAACAGTACAAAATTGTAGAATAGTATAAATATGCAGTATTGGTTTTTTGTATGTTTATTAGGATAAAATTAACCTAGTTCCATAAGAAACTTTAAAAATTTGAATAGGTTTATACAGATGAATAAATGTAAAGATAAGTACCTTGCTTTCTTATTTTCTAGCCACTGATTGAATAGTGAATTAAAAACAAGATTAAAATTGCTAACAGTCCTGCTCTGCTTGCCTTTGTGCAATTACATTTGGACTTGTGTGAATTCAGATCCTGTCCTTCAAGTCAACTTTTCACAGAACTGTGTTTGCAAGAACTGTTATTACCAAGAAGATTCTTTTCTTGGCTCATTTTCATTGTGGAGCAAAGTTTAAACTGTCACAAACTTGCTGACTAACAGCAATTAAGCGTATTTTTTCCTAAAAGGAATCTGAAGCAATACTTTCTTTTAAATGTAAATTTGAAACTATTTTGACTACATGCTATTTAGAGCACTCTTTCTGTTTCTTTAAATACAGTTCTTCGGAAAAAAAACAATTTTCTGCAGGATTCAGAAAACAGTGCTAACCATTGCTGTCATTGTAGGCCCTTAAGATTTAAGAGGGTCAAACTGAAAAAGTAAATCTTAAAACTAGCATTAAAGTGTTTTAGTCAACAGGACTTGTTCATCTAACTAATAATGTCCTAAAAGTTCTGAAAGAAACGTATCTTACATTCAATATATATTCTGTACGAGAGAGTACAAGAGAAATATGGACTTACCGGAGACAGTCTAACAAAGGGCTGCCAAGGTGATGGAGGGACTGGAGCATCCCTCCTGAGGAAAGTCTCCAAGATCTGGGACCTTTCAGCCTGAAGCAGAGAAGGCTCAGAGGGGATCTCATCAATGTATATAAATATCTGAAGGGAAGGTGCATAGAGGATGGAGTCAGGCTCTTCTCAGTAGTGCCCAGTGACACAACCAGGACAATGGGCCCACACAGAAACACAGGAGGCTCCCTCTGAACATCAGGAAACACTTTCTTTTTTTTACTGTGATGGTGACTGAGCACTGACTTCAGTTGCCCAGAGAGCTTGTGGAGTCTCCATTCTGGGAGATATTCAAAACCCCTCTGGTCCTGGGCAGCCTGTTCTAAGCATCCCTGCTTGAGCAGGAGGGTTGGACCAGATGGCCTCCAGAGGTACCTTTCAACATCAATCATTCTTTGATTCTGTGGTTCTTTGATTTGAAGGAGCCTTAGTGCTTGCCAATTACTTTACATTATAGATTAATATTATGCCGTAGTCAAAACCTTTGGAACCAGTTAAAATATACAGATAACAAACACTATTTTGAAAATACAAAGATTAGAAAGAAATGCATGACCTTCCTCTTTTGGCCTGTTACCAGTACATTGACATATATGGTTACATAGCTTTAAAAACCCCTGAAATGTTCTATAAAGAATAAGAACCAAAGAAGGACATATTTAAAGCCTAAAGTAGTCACATGACTTGTTTTGATATAAACCCCATAAGTACCCTGGTCTCGGTACATAAGCTGTATCACCCATCCAAAATTTGTCCCTAAGTATGAAAATCCCTCTCCACACACAACTTGAGTATCTCTGTTGAATCTACCCCTGCCTCTACTGATTCTTTTACCAAGCACTATGGAATATTTTCTAATTTCCCTATTAAATACATTCTGGTTCTTGCCAACTGCCCTTTCTTCCCTTAGAGGACATGAATTGCACAAGTTCAGAGCTGAAGGTTGCATCTTAATAAATGCTTATGCAATTGTATTCCAACATTTGCAGACTCAAATTCCACTTGGCAACTGTTAACTAGAGTCCAAGTTGGAGTTTCTAGGACAGTGTACTCCACAGAGCTGAGATACAACATTTAAAAAATCATGGAGATCAGGTGACAACTTGGTGGGCTGAGATGTCACATGCAACACTTGAGAAACAGTTTACTTTGGAGATACTCGTTGCTAACAATATAGAGGATGCTAGAAGTTAAACTGATTAAACTGATTACATGAATGGTCCAATTTTCACATCCCATGAAATCTGGCAATATAATTAAGAGATTCCCTTCTATTTGGTAGCTGAAGCACACTGAAACACTCTGTACAAACTTTCTTAAACTCAAGATGACCTTTACTAATAACTGTTCCTTCTAAGACGGAATGATTAAACATAGAAGCATTCATTATGTATAGAATTAAAGAGGAAAAAGGGGAAAAGCCTGTTAGGAAAATAATAGCATTAATCCATTTCTAACCTACATTTCTATGCCAACTTTGTTTCCTAACTGCTAGGGCTTTTATGTGCAACAGGAACATAACAAATGCAATAAACAGGATAGGCCTGAAATTTCCAATTTTTTTTTTTTTTTTTTTTTTTTTTAATAGCTGTAGTAACTGCTGCATTAGCTAGATACGGGCTGCAAGCAAGGTCCCAGGCACACACACAAAGTCTCACACTTCCACTGCCTCCTCTCTTATAATCCTGTCTATCTTCACTCCCACCCCCATCTAGAAACATAACTGCGAGCTCACTCTCCACTTCTCTGCCCTCCTACACACACATATTGGGACTTAACTCCCTCAAGACCTCAGCCAGCTCATCAGTGATGACTGCCTGCACACCACCACTTTACCCTGTTGCTCAGGTCAGCCTCCACACTAGCAAGCAGCCTACGTAAAGGTGATGACCTGGGCTGCAGGTTAAAGTTCTGCGTGCTGGCCATTAGTGAGAGCGAGAAGCCAATTTCATGAGAGTATCTGCCTTGCAGATCAGTTCTGCTGCATCACAGGCAAACACTCTGCTGCTGCCAAGAGCTGCATCTATGGCTGTTTTGAAATTATTGCCTACCACAGCTACACATCTGGCAATCTGAGAACCTAGAAATGAGTCAGCCTCCTCTGATACACCTTAATGGTGTATCATTTTTTACTGGTTTTACTCCAGGAGGTCATAAGCATCTAAACGTTTAGAGTTTTAGGAGGAACTGAGAAGAAAATCACGTTTTCTTGTCACAGAACAGTGCTTTGCTTTCGCAAGAACATTAGGCAAACGGGCTTACGACCCTCCATTACTTCAGGTAGATGCCTATTCAAAATCTCTCTCCGGGTCCTCAACATGCCTTCTGTGCCATATCGTACTTCTTCTCGCCCCGTGGTGATAAATATATGGGCAAGGCCCTGGGCTTAGGACGCAGCAGCCTGACAGGGCAGAGCTGAAACGTGAAGAGCCAGGGAAGAAGACGACGACACCTCCTCAGCACCCCCGAGAGAAACGCCAGGAGCGGAGCGTGGCGGGGGCCGCGCAGAGGAGGAGGAGGAGGAGGCGGAGAAGTAGTAGGAGGAGCAGAACAGCAGGAGCAGAAGAGGAGGAGTGCAGACGCCCCCAGCCCCGGGGAGAGCCAACGCCGCTGTTAGCGCGGCGGGCCGGGCCGTGCCGGGCAGGAGGCGATGCCAGTGCCGGCTCCGCCGCCGCGGGGGCAGGCCGGGGGCGGGTCGGGGGCGGGCGCAGCGGGGCAGGGCGGTGGCGGCGGCGGCGGCGGCGCCGGGCGAACGGGTGGGGGAAGGAAGGAAAGAAGGACCGAGCGACGCGGGGTTGGGTCGGAGCAGCTGCGGCCGCGCCGGGCCAGGATGGATCACCACCAGCCCGCCAGCCGCTACCAAGTGGTGAGTGCGGCGTCCCCGGCGAGGCCCCGGTTCTCGCCTCCCGCCGCCCCCTCGGGCTGGCGGGGCGGCCGGGGCGCCCTTTCGCCCCGGTTCGCGGCTCCCACTCGCGGGGCTCTGGCAGGGACCCACGGCGTTCCTCCAGCGCCCGACCGGGACCGAGCGCTGCCCCGTCCCGCGGCGGGGTCTGGCAGCCGGGCCTGGCTTGGCCGCGGGCGCTGCCCCCGCTCGCCCCCCCGGCAGCCGGAGAGGGCGGCTGCCTGGCCTGCTCGGCAAATCGCCTTTGCTCGCTCGCCCTCCCCTCCCGCGGCTCTCCGCGGTGCTCGGTCCCGGCCCGGGAGCGATGGGGTTTTCCGAGCGCCTGCCCCGCCCGGGAGGGGGTGGCGGCTCCCGGGAGATCGGCCGGGGCAGGAGAGCGGTGCGCCCCAGGCTGATGCGGGGCGGCTGGGGAAGGGCAGGGTGAGCTGTCTCTGGTTAGTACGTGCCGGGGAGCGAGTCTCTGAAACCCTGTGATTTCTAATAGCCCGTAGTTGTCTGGCACACGGTAGAGTGTAAGGCCTGGATGAAGGGAGCTGTAAAATGCAGGAGACTGACCTTCAGCCAGGTACTCTGTGTGTGTGTGTGTATATGCACATATAGGAGCACTGCCTTAAAAACAGTCTTCAGTGTTTTGCAGTTCAGTAAGACCAATTTAAGTGCCCGTTCTTTCATTCCTGAATTTCACTACAGAAATTATTATTTAGGATATAAAGATTTTCCTCCTGCCCAAATTGACTGCCCTGCTTGTTTCTTGCAGTCATTAGTTTAAATGTCACTTATACTCAAAATACATAAGCTTTTCTGATTATTGGGTGGAAAAATTACTTAGGTGCAGTTAGTGTCCTCAGAAGTTTCAATTTTATCCTTCAGTTCCTTGTACTTGACGGCTCTGCTGTCAATCTGAAGGTATGGAAGTCTGAAATCTTTGCTACTGTCTGTAATTGAAATTTCTATTGCAACCTTCTAACTAAATCCTGATTTATTTATTTTGGGGTGTTAGTGTTCTACAGCTTGAGCAGTGAGAAGAATGTCCACAAAAGTAAATCACATTTTACTTCTGTGCATGTGGAAATACTTATATTCAGATTGTTCCTAGGTTAGGATTTAAGAAAAAATGCTGTCAAAACCCTTTATTATATTTGGAATATTTATTTGCATAGTCTTACAGCACTGGAAATTTTGCTATGCTTTTGAGCACTTATCTACAGGGATTGTCATGTATCTGATGTGCACACCAAGCACCCCGTGACTTCTCATGAGTGATGTGTGCCTTAAGGTTGCCTCTTGGTTGCCAACTTCTTTATGGGTCAGTGCTTTCTAGCACACTTCTCTTCCTGCACCATGCTTCCATAACTTGAAATCAGTAGGAGTCCTAAAGTCATTCCTTCTTCTCTGCAGTGGAGAACAAAAATGCTGGCAGAGCGTTTTCTCAAGAGCCTACTAACACTATCTTCCCTGAGGCCTGAAGTAACCTGGGTGTGTTTTAAAAGGCCTTAAAAGCATATGATATTAAACTTCAGTCAGATAAAAGTGAAACCTTAATTCAATTCCTCAGAGGACTTACAAAAAACATGGTAAGACGGAAGGAAGAAATAGTCTACCTCTGTAATATTTCTATGGCAGGTTTGTTAGGAACTTCCAGTGATGGTGCTGGTGCCCAGCTTTGGGTAAATGTGCTTTGGTGTGGCCTTCCAAAAGTTCATATCTTAATGTTTGACTGCATGAGCTGGCCTCCTCAGTTCACTGTGTATGTTAAACTGCGTGGTCCATTGGTGGCACTGAATTTTGTTATGGAAATGTTCTCTGAAGCCTTTGTAATTACAGCATGTGAAGTTTTGTTGAATTTTTTTGTAAATCAGTCTGATGTACTCCAGACTTTAAAATAAAACCTTACTACTTACTGTCTCATAGGAAAGAGTATGTTGTTTTATTTGCTTGGTTATATCTGATTGCTAGAGATTTTTGTTATTTATTTACTGTTTTGGGTCAGGGAATGGAAGGAACAAGGCAATTGCAAATATACTTAATTAGCACCTGAATATTCAAGCATGTGATCTTAAGTGTTGGGGTGTATTTGCTTACATAATGGCTGTGATAGGTACTAAACAATAGATCATTTCAGATTTTGCAGTTGTGTCCTAGTTGTTAAGAACAAAATATAGAAGAAAAAGACGATTTAATGTAAC